TTCAGGTCGCAGGGTCGGGGACGAGGAGTGAGCGGGCGAACTGTTCAGGATATTTTATGTTGGATGTATTTGATGTTGAACGTTAAAACTTTTCAGAACTTTTATCAGACTTTTATGATTTTGCCACGCTAGACTTCCGCTAAAACTTTCAGACTTTGCTCCGACGTTAGTCGGATAATAAATTATAACCGTTTTATGTATCAGTTTTAAACTCTAACGGTTTTCAGAAGTTATGTTTTTCACGGTAGCCCCCGAATCAGTTTCGCAAATTAAGAAGTTAGTTTATTTATTTATTTATTCAGAAATTTGCGAAAAATCGCGTACTCTGATGTATTAGAAAGTCGGGGTGTTACAGTTCCCCTATCAAAAAAAAAAAAAAAAAATTCTCTTTTTCAAACACGAGTCCTCGAAGCAAGGAACGCAAGCAAGAGAAGAAAGCTATGGCCAACAAAGAGATGAAGGACAAGATCGATAATCTCGATGTCCAATTTCGCAGTATAAGTGAGGCTATCGAAACGTTGGGTGAAGGACTCGGCAATACCAAATCCACGGTGCAAGATTTAATGGAGACCATGAACCGGCGATTTGATGAGATGGCGCGCACGGTTCTTGCTCGCCTGCCACCGCCGCGGCAACGCGACCAGGCGCGACAGCACGAACGCGAGCAGCCCGAAGGAGAAGAACCGCGACGCGAGGAGCACGAGCGCGAGGACGACCTCGATCGGCAATCCCAGGCGTCCACGTACCGCGAACGTCCGAAGGTCGACAAGCCGCGCATCACGCTGTCCACATTCTCGGGCAGCGATCCGGACGCATGGCTCCACAGGGCAGTACAATATTTTGAGCTTAATGAAACCGACGGTCCCGATCGCGTGAGGTATGCAGCCTATTATCTTGATGGTGAGGCCAACGTATGGTGGCAATGGCTCACAAGGATCTACCGCAAGCGGCAGCAAATTATTACTTGGGATGTTTTTGAGAGAGAGTTGCTTACGCGATTTGGTACAACTGATTATCATAATTACAATGAGGCTCTTACACGCATACGGCAAACAGGCAGTCTACGTGAATACATCAGGGAGTTCGAATGATTAGCTTGCCGCGTGCGCGACTGGCCGGAAGAGGCATTAGTTGGCGCGTTTATTGGCGGGTTGAAATTTGACCTGGCTGCTGAAGTTCGACTCGAGAGGCCCGACACCATGCATGACGCGATGGAAGTGGCACGACGACGAGAAGATCACCTCGTCGCTACGCGAAGGGGACGGGCGGATGTGCGATTCACGGACGCAAGGCGCACGGGGTCAAACCAAGCCACAGTTGGCACACGGCCAAACGCCAGCAATCGGCCAGCGGGGTCGATAGTGAGGCGGCTGTCTCCCGAGGAGGTCAAGCGGCGACGTGAGAAGGGTCTTTGTTTTAAGTGCGAGGAGAAGTTCACTCCGGGCCATCAGTGCAAGCAAGCCTTTGTCATTGAAGTGGCCAACCCGGACGACGAGGAGGTTGAGGTTGAGGAGGAATCGCATCAGGAGGACGAGATTGAGACCTTCAGTGAGGAGCCTGAAATTTCGATGCATGCGATGATGGGGATCAGAGGACCGAAAACAATGCGACTACCAGCATGGGTCAAGGATCGAAGAGTAGTGGTGCTCGTAGACAATGGTTCATCGCATAATTTCATCAATGCTGACTTGTCGCAAAAGTTGAGATTGCCAACCACAAAGATCGAGCCCTTTGAGGTACGAGTAGCCAATGGAGAGAGGTTGCAATGCTCTGAGTCTTTTCGAAAGGTGCCGATCAAGTTCCAAGGGGTCACGATAAAAGCTGATCTGTATGCTTTACCACTAGTTGGACCAGATGTAGTGCTGGGAATTCAATGGCTTGAAGGGTTAGGCAAGGTGACGACCGAGTATCGAACAGGCATTATGGAGTTCAACTCTGAAGGACGGCAGGTCACCCTAAGTGCCGGCACTGATAAAGAAACTAAGGAAGTAGGGCTGAAAAATATTGAAAGGGTTTGGCGAGGTGGAGGCCAAATTTTTGCAGTAATAGTCGAGGACGTGGGAGCACACTCGAACAGGGATGCACAACAACAGGGAGATGTGCGTGAGCTTCTCGAAGAATTTGAAGGAGTACTGGGCGAGCCCAAAGGACTACCACCGCACCGAGAGTTCGATCATCGCATACCATTGGTCAATGCACAGCATGCCATTCATGTCCACCCTTATAGGTATGCTCACTTTCAGAAAACCGAGATCGAACGGCAGGTGGCCGAGATGCTTGAATCAGGACTCATACAGCATAGCAAGAGTCCGTTTTCTTCTCCAGTCTTGTTAGCCAAAAAGAAAGACGGCACGTGGAGGTTCTGTACTGATTACCGAGCCCTAAACGCTGCAACCATCAAGGACCGGTTTCCTATCCCAAGTGTTGATGACATGCTTGATGAGTTAGCAGGGTCGCGATATTTCTCTAAACTTGACCTACGAGCTGGTTATCATCAGATTCGGCTCCACAAAGCCGATATTCCCAAGACAGCCTTTCGTACACACCAGGGGCACTATGAGTATCTGGTTATGCCATTCGACTTATGCAACGCCCCATCCACTTTCCAGTTCGCCATGAACTCTATCTTTAAAGAACATCTGCGTAAGTTCGTTTTGGTATTCTTTGATGATATCCTAGTCTACTCAAAGTCGTGGGGCGAACATCTTGGGCATCTAACGATAGTTCTCGAAATTCTGAAGGCCAACTCATTCCACATCAAACCGTCCAAATGTTCATTTGGGCAAGAGATGGTTGAATATCTTGGTCATTTCATATCACATGACGGTGTGAAAGTCGATCCGCGAAAGATTGAGGCTATGGTCGATTGGCCTAAACCAACAAGTCTCACGCAGTTGAGAGGATTTTTGGGGCTCACAGGTTACTACCGAAAGTTCGTAAAGGATTATAGAACCATCGCGAAGCCACTGACAGCAATGACTAAGAAGGGTGGGTTCACATGGATCGAAGCTAGCGAGGAGGCGTTTGGAAAATTAAAAGAAGCTATGACGACAACGCCAGTACTCGCCATGCCCAGATTTGATGTCTTGTTCGAGGTACACACCGATGCGAGTGACATTGGAATTGGGGCTGTGTTAGTGCAAGAGGGGCGACCCCTAGCCTATCTCAGCAAGGCACTGGGTACTACTCGGTTAGGTCTGTCAGTGTACGTGAAAGAGATGCTAGCGGTTGTCGAGGCTGTACGGTGCTGGAGGCCTTATTTATTAGGTCGACGTTTTCAAATAGTTACCGA